TAAAAATAAGTGTTGTTTTTATAAGTACTGCTTTTCTTCATCAAACATCGAATAATCACTGTTGGCACACTATTAAAATGAAGGGAATCAAATTCTGCACCCAACAATGAGAGCAGCTTATTTATGGATATGGATACTTTTACATGCATTTAATGTATTATAACCCTTAAGACAATCGCCATAATAATAAAAACGATGCCGAGACCAACACCAAAGTTGTTCAGGGTTCGCGCCGTTTTGGAGTTCTTCTCTGCCAATTCACGCTGTCCTGTGGAATTGGCATTCCAAGTCTGTGAAAACAATAGTAAAACATTAACCGTTATCTGTTACCCATTAATACTGTTAACCACTTCTGTTTCATTCTCAGTGTTTTATTTATTTTGATTCAGTATCATCTGGAGAACTTTTTGAAATGAGAGAGCAAATGTGTTTTTGGACTCTTTGTATTGGTTTTCTCTGTTCAGTCCCTGTATTCTGCTGGCAAGGTTGCCAGGATTTCATAACCAAACTAGTTTGTCATATTGCAAGTGGTAAAGGAGAAGAGTTTTCAGATTTAGTAGAAAAAAAAATCTTAATTTGTATTTCAAAGATGAATGTCTCATTTTTCTTAGTTTTGCATATAGAGCAGTTTATTTGAAACTCTTTTTACACTGTACAAACAAGCAAAGAATATATGTGTTTTTAATGAATACAATAAAGCCACAGCCAACTTATCCAGCATATGTTATAAGCAGAGGATGCCCTTCCAGCCGCAACCCAACACTGGGAAATACCCATACACTGCTATTCACACACATACACAACTGACAAATTAGCCTACCTATTTCACAGTGCATGTCTTTGGACTATGGGGGAGACCGGAGCACCCAAAGGAAACCCATGCAAACATGGAGAACTTGCAAACTCCATACAGAAATGTCAACTGACCCAGCTAAGGCTTGAACCGGCGACCTCCTTGCTTTGAAGAAGTTTTTTTGTACAGTACAGACTGTATTTTCTATCCTCCCCGTACCCCTAAACCCAAACCTCACAAAAAACAATTAGCAGTTTTACATTCACAAAACATATACAAAATATATGAGTTGTTTTCCCCATAGGGATAAAAAAAGTCCCCACAAGGTCAAAATTTACTGGTATTGCTAAACTTGTGGACACACACACACCTTACATATATAACACATACACTCACCAGCTACTTTATTAGGCACACCTTACTAACACCAAGTTGGACCCTCTTTTTCCTTCAGAACTGCCTTAATGCTTCATGGCATAAATTCAACAAGGTACTGGAAATATTCCTCAGATATTCTGGTCCATATTGACATGATAACATCACACAGTTGCTGCAGATTTGAGTGCTGCACATCTATAATGTGAATCTCCCGTTCCACCACATCCCAAAGATGCTCTATTGGATTGAGGATCTGGTGACTGTGGAGGCCATTGTCAGGCCGACAATGAGTGAGTACAGTGAACTCATTGTCATTGTAACCAGTCGGAGATGATTCACGCTTTGTGCTAATGGGCCCAAAGTGTGCCAAGAAAGTATCCTCCACACCATTACACCACCACCAGCCTGAACTGTTGATACAAGGCAGGATAGATCCATGCTTTCCTGTAGTTGACGCCAAATTCTGACCCTACCATCCGAATGTCTCAGCAGAAATCGAGACTCATCAGACTAGGCAACGTTTCTCCAATCTTTTATCATCCAATTTTGGTGAGCCTGTGTGAATTGTAGCCTCAGTTGCCTGATCTTAACTGACAGGAGTGGCGCCCGGTGTGATCTTCTGCTGCTGTAGCCCATCCGCCTCAAGGTTGGATATGTTGTGAGTTCAGAGATGCTCTTCTGCATACCTCAGTTGTAACGAGTGGTTATTTAAGTTACTGTTGCCTTTCTATCAGCTGAAACCAGTCTGGCCATTCTCCTCTGAGCTCTGGCATCAACAAGGCATTTGTGCCCACAGAACTGTCGCTCACTGGATATTTTCTCTTTTTCCGGCCATTCTTTGTAAACCCTCGAGATGGTAGTGCCTGAAAATCCCAGCAGATCAGCAGTTTCTGAAATACTCAGACCAACCATGCCATCTTTATCTATATATATCTATCTATGTATATATATATATGAGCAATTCCAGCGTTATGGATGTGACATTTGCAGTAAAAACTCATAACATATATTTACATAGAAAGTCTATGTTAACATTATATTGACACATCTGTTTATATTTTCCAAAACAACTGACCACAGAGTTATGGGATCAGAAAAATATCAATCTGTAAACATTTTTTATACTTTAAATGAGGAAAACAAGATGCGTTATGGATGTGACAAAAAAAGTTTCAAATTTACAGTATACAACATACTTTGTAGAAATTCTGTGAATTAAACTACACAACCCAAAAGAAACAATGCTAATCAAATAGATATGACTCGGCTAAATATAGAACCAAAATGATTGATTTTATTGTATTTGAGATTTTTGCATTTATGAGGAAAAAGTGTCGTTATGGATGTGATACTTTTCCGTTATGGATGTGACAGCTGTGAAATTGCCACTTGTGTAATTTTGGTAAATCAAATATAATAATTTAAAACACTGACAGAGACATGAGTATTATTTAAGTACTGTAAAATACTTTCTTTCACAAAAAATGTAGAAATGGTTTCTCTATTTTGGTGAAAACTTCACTTTTTTCATGGCAAGGTTGACATTTATATATAAATGTATATACATACATACATACATACACTGACTGTATACTAAACTCTGAGATCTAAATCTAAGTATAGAGATTTTTGGGTTTTTATATCGTATAACAATTTTGTGGGCAAGTTGTACAAGTATCAAAAGCAGTTTGATTGAATTTAGGTTGCACAAAGATTAAAGAAATGTAATAAGTTTTTAAAATATTAAGAAGTAAAACTTACAGAGACGGAAAATATCAGCGCTGCGATGCCCAGAGGGAAACAGCAGCAAAACAAGTTGAAGATGGAGTAACACAGGTAATCCGGCGGTGGAGTTTGCAATGGAGCAGCAGCCACAAAAACTGCAGGCTGCACCGAGACCACCGCTTGTCTTGGATGTGGCCCTTGAACATAGGGGGCCTGTGGGACCGACTGGCCTGGATAGGATGGAGTATATGGAGGTGGACTGTCCTGGTAGCTAGGTGGTGGTGGAAATTGAGATTTCTCAGGAGAATTCAGCCTGGGATCCATTCTTCTGCTTTTGTTTTCTTTGTATGGAGATGAATGCACCGCTGTACTCTGCTGTCCTGATGGTCAATGAATGAAGACAGTGTGTGGGGGGATTCAGTATACATTGAGGAGGAGGGACAAGAACATGTAACTCCAGGGCACGCCTTGTCTGGTCTTGTCACGCCGTAAAAATTGCAGGGATCCACTCAAGTCATTCATGTTGTCCCAACACAAAAAGATTAAGTTAAGCTGAGAAATTGGAGTGGATTGAACATAAAACAATTATGTTGTCCTAAAAAAAAATCTCAACATAAATCTCAGTTTAAACAAGCAGTAGGATATTTTTGAGTGCATCAACCCTGGGATTTTTATGAAAAATGTTTATCAAGGAATAGTTTGAATCTTCATCATGTTGATGTGTTTTGAGGATGTTTTCTCCTTTTGTCTTTGACACCCTGAAAAACTTTTTTAAAGTTTTAACAGATTTGTGTGTGTTGAAGACTTTGGAGCTTTTGTCAGCTAATTCCATCTTCCGGGTTAAAAATAATTATTGGAAAGGGATCAAAATCAGTAATGTAGCAAGCACCTGCTAGTGGAGTGATGACTATATGTACTGATCAGGGTTTTTTGGCCTTAAGTAAGAGTCATTTGATTTTGAGTATCGATACCAAAACCAGATTCGATACTTGTATAAAACATAATCAAAAAATAAAGAAGGGCGAGGAAACAGATCCAGGATGTTCCTTATTTTTTATTTAATTCATCTTATTTTAATATTCAACATCTCTGTTAACAAACAGAGCACTACTGTGAGGAAGCTTGAACAATAAACTATAAATAACTGAAATTCTTCACTTTTGGACTTTTTTTTTGGTAAATATAGCAAAAATCTAATATAAAAACAAATAACACCTCAACTTGGGCAATCCCAGGTTTACATATCACAGTTTGCTATGGCAATGTTGTCGTCATCAACTTTATAATACCTCCAGACCGCAGACATACTTGCGCTGTCACATCCCCAGCTCATTCCTGCTCACCTAATCACCGCTGTCCTTCAAAACCCACCTCCATCCAATCCCGCGAACCCTCACAGGCATTCTAATCACCTGCACCTGTTCCCCTTCATCAAAGGACCCAATAAAAGCTCACCTTATCCCCTCAGTTATCAGCCGGTATTGAAGTCAGATGGTTGTCCTCACCTTTGGCCTTTTCCTCTTTTTTCATGGATGTTCCTCATGTGCCTTCGGATCCTTCACACTGTTTACTCTTACATGGTGTTTACTAGAAGATCACCATTTACCTGATGAACTGTGTGTCCCCGAACTACAGACAAGATCTCTCAGTGAGATCCCTAACATAAAATGTTGACATAGCAAGCTGTTGAAGAAGATCGCTAACAGCTCTAACACTCTCCCACGCAGGCCCGGCGCCAGGAAGTCAAAACTGAGGGGGCACTTTAAATCCATAGGGGGGCACTAGACCTGGTGACTGATTTTGGTCTCTTGTTTCTTTCATTTAGGCTATTTATTCGCATTTATTATTACTTTGCATTACTGCCTAAGTTACTGACCTAAGGCAGTAATATAGGTTACGTTTTAATAGTAATAACAATACGCAGTTTCGCTATTACGAATTTTATTAACGATGGTAATGCATACCGCTTATTAATGCAGACGGATGATGGCTTCAGTGCCAAACGAGTGCTTTAAATCATATGTTATTCTCCTTATTTCCGTTTTATTTCAAATAACAGCCCTATGAATGTTTAAAGTTTTAGGTAAAGACGTCAAATTATGCCCACGCATGCAAGCTGACCCACGATCAGACAATTCATTTAACCGGTAAATAAATATAGTGAAATCAGCTTAACCGAGTCATCCCGCTTCACAACCAACATCAGTGTTGGGGAAAAGCTAAATGTGACAATCTAATGTCATTCAAAACAATTACTTAGTTACATTTTAACATTTTACATTTTTAGTGTAGCCAGAAAAATACCTAAAAAAGATACAAAAATTCACAGTTATTACCGTGAAAATTGGTTAAATTTTTATATGCTATATAACTTTTTTTTTCATCATTTTAAATGTAAAAACAAAGATTTGTCTAAGGCTATTAAAAATGTGCTTTTTTCGTGATATTGTAAACCATCATAAACCATATGTACCATAGTTTCTAGGCCTACCCGTCATTTTATTTATTAATTATTTTATTTATTAGGCCTTTTTTAATAGCTTGTTTTCAGGTTATTTTCATTTTAGGGCCATGAGCTAAGTCAAAACAAACTCGATATGTTGTATTTTAGCTCTTAAAACAGATCTACAATATATTTTATGTTGTTTAATTTTGCATGAGCAAATAGCAGTATAGCCTAAGTTACATACTTTTAAAAGATTATCATTCTGCCTACCTGCAGCGCACGAGATTTCTCGGTTGATCCGCGGTAAATCCACTTAAGCACTATACCTATTCCATTTATAACACTGCAAACTTGACTTCGCAGGCCGATCATCTTTAAACGCAAAATGCATTTATTATGTGTTATACCTTGACTGCAGTTGCATAATGGGATGTTTCTCTACGCAACTGTAAAAGTGCACTTTTCAGCAAAATGAAAGCAAACATTCAAAGGGTTCTGCGTTTTGTCAATTTTAGCTTAATTGTAATAATATTAATAATAATATTAATAAATAAATTAAAATATTATTTATAGTGTAGCCTACTGTGGGACTGTGCAGTAAACTATTTATTTTTATTAAAACATTTTTATTAGGCTACATCTTCCCGAATAACTAATAAATGACTGGCAGTTGCGTCTCTGCTAAAATTAATTTAACAGCAAATTTCTTATGTGTTTTTTCCTTTTAGAGTTCAAGAGAGTTGTGTTTAAATAATTAGTTAACCAAAACATATAATGAATTAAGCTGCTTCTATTATGTCACCCATTTTCTCCCTTGTGAGTTGAGTGCGCCTCCATCGCCGTGTGCGCGTTTTAAAGGCTATTTACGGGCGCACCAGACCTGACGCGGGGACCGGATCTCTGGACTATAGGACTAGCTTTAACCTCACCATTTTCATAATTTAATTGCTATGTCATATATTTTAAAATAATTAAATGTGTGTTCTGAAGGTTGGAAGGACGGGAGTGTTAATAATTAATGACAGAAAGAATTTTCAGTTTGAGTGAACAATCCTTTATAAAAACTGGGGGGGCACAAACTCTGTCTGAGGGGGCAATGCCACCCTTTGCCCCCCCGTAGCGCCGGGCCTGCTCCCACGTCCTCACTTTAGCATTGTTTTAAATAAAACTGATAAAAGATAACATTCCTTGTCTACCAGCATGACACGCACTTTCTGCTTCAAGCTGAAGCAGGTTTTATGTTGACGGTATTATATATAAATTATATATATATATATATTTATGGGGGAATTACCAGCCTATGTCACAGGGGTTCAATCGCGCATACTGGTTGTAAAAATGAGTGCACTTCAGTAGCACAGTCTCATTTAGTTATGTTGCCAGTTAATTTGAAACCCACCACAGGGTGTCCGGTCAGAGACGTAGAAGATGGTTTGGGTATGGGAGTAACCCGTTTATTGTCACCACCACTCAGTATGCAAAGGTTATTGATTAAGTGTGTATGTGTGGTCTTTCTATAAAACAGAAATAAAAAAGAAAAGTAAATATACATGAGAAAAATTAATCACAATATACATATAAACAGATAAATGGATATAAGAAACAGATGGCTGGGGCATAAACAAATGAGTATATACATAAGGCAGCTATACAGAACTCATAGTGCTCACTGGGATATGCCTGGGCATGTTCAGCATGCATGACTATTATTGACTATTCCAACTAGGTTAATTATAACGGCACAAATACTTTTAAATAACCACTTCTAAATGCAAATACAAGTAAATACACATAAATAACATGAAGACAGAAAAATTTATAAGTAAGCAGAAATATTTACATTCTAACGTCGACCAAACAGCTGACCGCAAAGTGAAAGCGAAGAAAACCGCTACATGAACATCAAAAAGTTAACCCTACAGCAGTCACAATAATATCACAAAGTCAGAAAACACACTTACTTTCATATACGCACACACAGGAGTTTATCTTGTGCAACGGCACAGAAAGCTTTGTTTGCGATCAGTTAAGCTCACTTTCACATCTGCCGAGCGCAGTGGGCGGATTGTTTTGCTGCACGTAGCTCGGCGAAGCCGATAGGCTGGCTGTGTGTCTCTCAGCGAATGCTGATTGGCTGCTTGCCTTTCACTCAGTCTCGGTAAAAGGGGGAGAGATTTTAGCGATTTTAGCGTACTATATAGTATGGAAGTATGCAGTTTCGGACGCAGCCATAGAATGCTAAGAATCAAATGTAAAAATGTAAGTCCACATACCCTGCCGTACAGGTGCAGTTTGCTGTCAGAATGCAGTTGTTTTGCTTGTTGATGATTACCCAGGCCTTGTATGGCTCCGTCTCCTTTCCTTGTCTTTGGCTTGGCAGAACCCCGATTTTTAGCTCTACATAGTTTTGAATCTGGTAATCATGGAACATTATTTCTAGCACATGACCACACAGAACAACATAATTGGCACCCAAAGACTTGTCGGCCTTTAACTTTTCTTTTGTAAAAATACTTGGGAGTTTCAATGACATAGTTGTATATTTTGGGCCACTGGATGCTTCGCTATTTCATCTTATTTAATATTCAATAAGAGGGTGCTATTGCAAATGGACCTGTCAGATGAACGCCGCTCACTTTATCGTTAATTTTGCAGAATAACTGTGCTTATCACTGGGTGACAAGCTGTTATATGTAAATAATATATTTAATATGTAATAATTTATTCATTCATTAATTTTCTTTTCGGCTTAGTCACTTTATTAATCCGGCGTCGCCACAGTGGAATGAACCGCCAACTTATCCAGCATATGTTTTACGCAGCTGATGCCCTTCCAGCTGCAAGCAATCTCTGGGAAACATCCATACACACTCATACATTATGGCGAATTTAGCCTACCCAATTCACCTATACCGGATGTCTTTGGACTGTGGGGAAAACCGGAGCACCTGGAGGAAACCCAGGTAAATGCAGGGAAAACATGCAAACTCCACACAGAAACGCCAATTGACCCAGCCGAGGCTCGAACCAGCGACCTTCTTGCTGTGAGGCGTCAGCACTACCTACTGCCTCGCCATGTAATCAATATATCTTATTTATAAGACAACAACAAACTGTACCGCATCAGATGCCATTCCCTTGCTGTAAATGCTAGCGCTCCAGTTTTTTTTCTGCACACTGAATGTTTACAAACCGGTAGTTCGTCAATTTGAGTCCTGATTATAGACTATAAAAGATACGGACGTAGTATCGTATCGTATCGTATCGTAGATCACCCATAGGTTTCAGAAAACCGCAAAAAAAGCATATAAGTATAGGAGTGACCAACCGTCACCATTTTGTTCATGTATCAATGCACTGACGGGATACCAAACAAGGGCAAAGAGGCGGAGCTACAGACACCTTCTAGCATTTTGCTTAGACGGGCTTTTCTTTGGGAGAAATGATTAATACTTTGTTTTCTGCGACTCGCTACTTACATTTTAAGTGAAGTTTATTTATAAACTAATTTCGAGAGGATCTCTTGCTTATGATTGTGTAACAGAGTTATTTTGGTAATATTATTTTCACTCAAAATCCTTTTTTCTATTGAGTATAACTTTTATTTACTTCATTTGATATTATTATATATATTATTTTATCGTTTTGAGTTTATGCTTGTATGTGACTTTCAGGACCTGTTCAAGTGTACTGTCACTTTAAGAGTGTATACTCGTTCGTGTGCGCGCTCATCGCTCTCTCAGTTCACTTCCTTCTGAGCTGAGAGAAGGTTGTCTCGTGGTTAATGGAGACATTAAACGGTAATATTATTGACGGTTGATGGTATATTTTAAATCTAAAATGTTTGTTGCTTCGCTAAACATACTCTGTGATGTGGAAATATGAAACTGTGGTTCTAAATGGTTGTGATTGAGATCGTTTGCATTTGTGAGTGAGATTAGCACATATTAGCATGCTGTAATTACTCCTCGTGTGCCAAAAGGTTGTTTAATGAAGATCATAATCACAGAATGCATGTTTTCAACACATTTTCCATTTGTGCAGGTATGTTTTTGTATTGTTGGTAGTTTTTGTGATTTCATGTCATTAATATTAATTTAGTCTTATGTTAAGCAGATTAGTTTAATACATGTTCTTTCAAGAAATCGCTATCGCAGTTCACTTCCTTCTGAGCTGAGAGAAGGTTGTCTCGTGGTTAATGGAGACATTAAACGGTTGTTTAATGAAGATCATAATCACAGAATGCATGTTTTCAACACATTTTCCATTTGTGCAGAAAATAAAGACAGTGCCAAGCGGTAAGAGGTTTGGAGTCCTTTATTGAAAAACAACAACACAACGCAGGACGGATTCCACTCGTGTGGGACCCGTTACAATTGCTAGCGGTTAGATTCGCATTATCCAATTCTCAATGCACCAATCAGATGACTCCTAATCTACAACAAATACCCTGGGTTACATACCACCGCCATCTTTGTTTTGAAGAATCCCCCCTTCCACCCCTATTCCTCCTTCTTTCTAGATGGGTGACACAGCAAGAACTTTTCTGGTTCAAGGCTTTACCAAACCAGCAGACGTTTCTGTGCGGAGTTTGCACTTTCTCCCCGTGCTCACGTGGGTTTCCCCCAGATTCCCCTGTTTCCTCCCACTGTCCAAAAACATGCAACTTAAGTTAATTGACTAATCCAGATCGGTACCATAGACATGCTCCTAGTAAGTAGTTATCTCTTAAGAGCAATCAGTTCATTAGCTACTACAGCAGGGGAGTTCTTGAGATCTACCTGAGCTCAAACTTCTCTCTCGCCTTGCAACGGGAGGAAGGGGCGTGACGCTTTTCCTGGTGACATGTTCTTTTCCTGATCAGCGAATGACAGCACATTATGTTAGCTGACCAATCTTCTTCGAGCCTCTTGACAGCGGCCCTTTCAGAGGAACTAGGAAGTATGACAGTCGTTTTCATGTTAGCGGAGGAGCTGTATATAATCAAAGTAAGATATATGAAAAAATAAAGTGATTTTACAGCTTTTGTGTTAAAACTTTATCCCTCTATCTATGTGTGTGTGTGTGTGTGTGTGTGTGTGTAATTTAAAACAATTCAGTAGCCTAATAAAAATAAATGTTTTATTCATGATAAAGGCAACATGCCAGTACTGCTTTTGCACCCAACAATGACAGCAGCATATTTATGGATATGTATACATTTCACATGCATTTTAACGTGACTCAAGCACAACCTGTATGACAATCACCATTATAATAAAAACGATGCCGAGACCAACACCAACGTGGTTCAGGGTTCGCGCCGTTTTGGAGTTCTTCTCCGCCAATTCACGATGTCCTGCGAAATTGGCATTCCGAGTCTGTAAAAACAATAGTAAAATATTAACCATTAACCATTAACCCATTAATACCGTTAACCACTTCTGTTTCATTCTCAGTGTTTTATTTATTTTGATTCAGTATCATGTGAAGAACTTTTCAAATGAGAGAGCAAATGTGTTTTTGTTTTTGTGTCTCTGTTCACTCCCTGTATTCTGCTGGCAGGGTTGCCAGGTTTTCTTAACCAAACTAGCCCAATGGCAGTTCGTCATATTGCATTTAGTAAAGGAAAGAGCTTTCAGATTTACTCAAAAAATTCATAATTTGTGTTTTAAATTGTGATTTAACTTTTTACACTATACCAGTGGTCACAAAACTTCGGTGTCCTGTGGCCGGTGGTCGGTGTCCTGCAGATTTTAGCTCCAACCCTAATCAAACACACCTGAACAAGCTAATCAAGGTCTTACTCTGTATACTTGAAACATCCAGGCAGGTGTGTTGAGGCAAGTTGGAGCTAAACCCTGCAGGGACACCGGCCCTCCAGGACCGAGATTGGTGACCCCTGCACTATACAAACAAGCAAAGAACATATGAGTTGTTTTTATTGAATAGTCAAGTCACAACAACAGGTCTAAGCATTTTATGTATTGTATTTATGACAGTATTATCAATGCTAATATTCTTGTCACAGACTATAAAACCCCCAAGGCTGTAGAAATCTTTCATTAAACTGATCTGAGCGCACACCTGCCAAACTTGTTTGTAGTTTGCTTTATAATGAATCCTTTCATCAGTTAGACTAATTCAGGCTGCAATATTGAAAACACAACAGGTGCATAACAACTATTGTTTGCATTAGCTTTAACACTGTACACACACATACACAACTATCTATTGGGACTTCCCATATTAAATATTTTTGCTATTTATATTTTCCATCCTCCCCCTACCACTAAACCCAGACCTCACATACCCTACATACGCTACCGGTCAAAAGTTTGCGGTCAGTTTTTTTTATGTTTTTTTTTAAGAAAATTATTCTGTTCATCAAGGTGGCGTTTATTAAATGTGAAAAATAAATATGTAAAATTGTTAAATTTGTATTTATTAAATATTTATTTATTACTTTTTACATGTAGTTTAAAATAAAATGATTACTCCAGTAGTTTTTGCTTTTATTACTATTGTCATTAATAATACTATTAATAATAATAATACTATGTATTAGAGTGATTTCTGAAGGATCATGTGACTCTGAAGACTGAAGTAATGAAGCTGAAAATTCATCATTAAAATCACTGGAATAAATGATTCAATTAAATGATAAACTACTTTTGAACAGTTATTTCATAGTGCAATAACATTTCACTGTTTTACAATTTTTACTGTATTTTTGATTAAATAAATGAAGCATTGGTGAGCAGGATAAACTTATTTTAAAACAGTTAACAATCCTACTGAGCCCAAACTTTTGACCGGTAGTGTATATCAACACATATATCAGATGCAAAAATGATTTGATGGAATTTTTTTGTTCTTAAAAATAAATTAATTGATTGCACGCCATTGATTAGGCTACTGTTATGTGTAACACTCACTAATGAAGAATTTATAGGAAAACAAAATTAAATAACAGACAAAAAATAAATATAAAAATAAATAAATATCTCACACATACACTACAGACAATTTAGCTTACCCAATTCATCTATACCACGTTTTTGGATTTGTGGGGGAAACCAAAGCACCCGGAAGAAACACAGAGGATATATACAGTATATATATATACACATAAATATATTCAAACCACAGATTTCTTTACAGTTTAAAATCTTTAAACTTCTTTGGATATTTTTTTCTGCTGAAGATACTGTTGTCAAAACAAAATATAAAAACCCCCCAAAAAACTTACATATGCCATTAGGAACAGTTTAAGAGAAAAATTGGGTGGTTTTAAAACCCTGACTCTTCCAAAGCACGGTATAACTTGAAAATGGTTATTGTCCCATGCCTAACATACATACATATATATATATATATATATATATATATATTACAAGATGATTAAATTCTTTCCCCTGAAAAAATAGGGATGTTTGGCCATGCTAATTGAAAAGCTGACCAGCATGTACTTTTTTATTTAAAGAGCACCTATGATGAAAATCATCTTTTGTAAGCTGTTTGGACAGAACTGTGTGTAGGTATAGTGTGTCCACAGTCATATTGGGGTGATATACATTTTTCTCACGCAAAAAAAAAAAATACAAATCCCTCCCATTTCGAGGCCGACCGCAACTTGATGTAGAAGTGCGGTTTCCCTGCCCACCGAACTGATTGACAGCTGTGTATTAACATGTCTCTGTAGTAACGCGTATAATCATATCAACAAAACAGGACGTGCACAAAGCAACCGGGAATAAACTGTCTGTTCAGTTTGCTAGGATCATCAATCATCATCAAATGTGATCAAGAGTGAGTTTTACAAGTTTAAATTGTTTGTAAAACAGGGCATGTGTGTAATAAATTACAGTGATTTACTTAAGCTTTACTTTATTAACACAGCCAGTGTCAGAACAATTATAAAAGAAGAAGCTTCAATCCCGGTTTGTGGATGTTAAATTAGGTTTATTTTGTACATTAACATAACAGATATCCATACAGCAGTGTATATTAACCTGTATCCTGTCACATTTGCCGTGCAAAAACGTGCAAAGTTAAATGCGCGTGCTGTTTGTCTGTGTGTGTGTGTGTGTGTGTGTGTGCACATGAACTTTGTAACAACATTGTGTGTGACTCATTGTTGCAACTCCACAACAAATGCATCAAATAATCACTGGGAAAGTTTTTATGGCCTGTTTCCACTAAACAGTACGGTTTGGTTTGGTACGCTTTTATGGTCGTTTCCACTGTCTAAAGGCATACCGTACCGAACCGTACCACTTTTTCGGCACCCTTTCGAAAGGGTACCAAACACGAGAAAGGATACTAAAAGGCGGAGCTAGACGCACAGCTGAACGCTATTGGTTTACAGAGAAACATCATTCGCTTACGCAACAAGCCAGAAAGAAAACAAAAACCTGCCATGTTTGAAATACACAGTCTGGAGATTACAGCAGAATTATATATATGTATAATAACAAGCCATGGTTGACCTGGGCTCAAACAAACCTTGTCGTCATCTTGGTCGGATGAACAGCCACAAAGCAAAAAAGAAGAGCAGATTTACCCTGTGCTCTCGAGTTTTTTACGAGCCAGTCTGAAGTGTGAGTGGTTTCGCTTTCTTGTTTGCGCTCGCCGCGCGTCTCTATCTGAAATAACAAACTTCTTGAGTTGATGATAATAACGTGCACTTGATTATTGACGTGCTTTTGAAACCCGATCCTGTCAGATAACGTTACTGACAAACGCGAGAGTGACACATTAAGAAAGAAAAGGACAAACGCGAGAGTAAAGCACGGAAAAAAGGAGAAGCCGGAAAATTGGAGCACATTATTTCTTCAGCAAACATGAACACACTGCCATGTTTAACTATTATCTTCACCTTTTGGACTAATATGAACTCAGAATGATGGAATGACTCTCTAACAGAGGCTACATGTGCTGCTGAAGATTACAGACACAGATGAGAGGTGACTGTGGGCTATTCTGTGGGCTATATTTCCTGTGTTTTTTTAACCTAAATAAGCACTAAATGACTGCTGTGTGTAGTTCTTCTGTAGTTGGTAACATATCAGAGACTCTAAGGGGCTGTATGTGTTCATGTATGTTCATTTATTTATTTATTTAATATAAATTACAGACGTTACAGTAGGCTATTTTGCACTGTCATTGATCTGCAGTTATAATCAAATCATGTTCATAGAAAAGTTAGTAACAAACATTATACAGAAGTATTTATGTGTAAAAAAAGCGTCTGTTTTGTGAGAAGTGCTTCTCATATGATATGTAAGTGACCGTTAAGGCTTTATTGTGGACATTTTCTTGAGCGAGAATGATTCGACTGAAACTTGCTGTCATACACCACCCCCACCAAAAGGGTACCCTTGGTAGTGGAAACTCAAGCCTGATAAAAGGAACCCATACACAAACTGTACTGTACTGTACCAGTCAGTGGAAACAAGCCATTACTGTAATATTTCTCACAAATGTTACGTGAGATCTGCTTCGTTCATGTTTATTCTGTTGTCTGACGCAGCCGAGGGCGGAGATTGAGGCACACTGACATGCACTTGGGAATGGTGGGCAGGGAGGACTAGCAATAAAGGCACAGGCCACAAAAACAGCTACAAGATGCTCAGAGTTAAAAATCACAAACTTCTGAAAGCTATAATAAATAATCTGATGGGTGTTTTGAGCTAAAACTTTACAGACACATTCTGGAGATACAAAAGACTCTTAAATCTGGAAAAAGGGGTAAATTAGGTGCCCTTTAATCAAATTATATTTAGTACTGCACTATATAAGGAAAATAATAAATTAGTACGTCTTTAGACCTCTTTCAAAATGATCTATAAATTCTTTTAGTCTTTGTAAGCAACTGCACCGCCCCTCCCCCTCCCTCCCGTCTGCTTTTTTACTGGAAGCCTAAAACAAGACTCACCCATTTTCGGTTAATAATGAAACTTACAGATTAAGATAAGAGAACAAATATTCAGACACTGGATATCAAGCTTTCTAAAAACTATATTTTTTGAAGAAAAAAGTCCAACAATCAAAGAAACAAGTGGAAAAAAACTCTTAAAATGTTTGTGTTGTGAAATCAGTGATATACAGTACACTATGTACACACACACACAAAGGCCAACAAGCTGGACCCATCACCCACATGACATGTTTTGGAAGTTTTGCAGGAAACTACATGAATAAACCTGTCCTGTTTGCATTGTTTTCATATTTGTGACACAAACAACATTCAAAGAGAAAACTGAAAAAATATTGAAGTGCTGTATGTCAAACATGAATGTCAAGAAAGGAAAAAATTAACCACTGAAATATTTAATAATGCAGAATGTTTAGCCAAACATTGAGCATCTGAAGAGTAAATCACTCACGATGTAAAGATTTTTAAGATAACCGACCCCCCCTCCCCCACTCCTCATTCAAAAAGGTTTTAGAGACCAGATAGTAAAGACAAACTGATGTAAAAGTCATAAAATAACACATAAATGGTTCTTGATAGCAATAATTTACACATAAATATTAACATACACATTTTATTAAGTATAAATAGAGCACAGATTGTTGATGATTCATTATTTGTCCAAATTACAGACTATAGAATGATGGAAATGTTATTTGTTTTGCTTTTATCATCTGCATTTCATAATAAAAGTAACTTTTCACATGTTATAAATAATAATTTTTATAATCATTTTGTTTTCAGTTGTTAAATCATGTATTGTATACTAAACTCTGAAATCTAAATCTAAGTCTAGAGACATTTGCGTTTTTATATCATATAACAATTTTGTGCTCCACAGATTTTATCCAGCAAAAAATTTAAAAGTGGGATTGATATAAATTGTATTTTTTGTAATGAATATGAGGAGACTGCGTAACACTTATTTTGGCATGCCGCATACTCAGTCAACTTATGGAGTGAGGTGCAAAAATATATTATTAACAATTTACAGTGTTCTAAACCTCTGTCATTGTTGTGGGAAAATGTACTTTTTGACATGTACCCTATTCAAGAGGAAAATTGTTTTTATTGAATTAATTTAATCATTTTGCTAACAACATTTTACATTCATAAATGTAAATTTACTAATAAGAAACCCAACTTTAAGGTGATGACTGAATTATGCTTATGTATTTGTAGTATCAGAGACTCTCTATAAGAAAGCCCTACACACTTTAAAACTTTATAAACTCTACAATGTATTTATTTGATTATTACATATGTATATTTGTATTTGATTAAAATGTTATAATTAAAAAAATAATAATAATTTTGTGGACAAGTTGTACAAGTATCAAGTGCAGTTTAATTGATTTTAGGTAACAAAAAGATTAAAGAAATATAATAAATACTTTAAATATTAAGAAGTAAAACTTACAGAGACGGAAAAGATCAGCGCTGCGATGCCCAGAGGGAAACAGCAGCAAAACAAGTTGAAGATGGAGTAACACAGGTAATCTGGCAGTGAAGATTGCAGTGGAGCAGCGGTCACAAAAACTGTAGGCTGCACCGAGACCACCGCTTGTCCTGGATGTGACCCTTGAACATAGGGGCCCTGCGAGACCGACTGGCCTGGATAGGACGGAGGATATGCAGGTGGATTGTCCTGGTAGACATGTGGTGGTGGAAATTGAGATTTCTCAGGTGAATTCAGCCTGGGATCCATTCTTCTGCTTTTGTTTTCTTTGTATGGAGATGAATGCACTGCTGTACTCTGCTGTCCTGATGGTCAATGAATGAAGACAGTGTGTGGGGGGATTCAGTATACTTTGAGGAGGAGGTACAAGAACATGTAACTGCAGGGCACGCCTTGTCTAGTCTTGTCACACGCTGTAAAAAAATGAGGGATTCACTAAATTCATTAATTTTAACACAAATCTATTAAGGTAACCTAAGACATTGGAGTGGATTGAACATAAAACTATTATGTTGTCCTAAAAAAATCTCAAGATAAATCTCAGTTTAAACAAACATGGAAAATGACTATCATGTTGATGTGTTTTGAGGATGCTTTCTCCTTTTGTCTTGTACACCCTGGAGTACGTTTTTGAGATTTTAACAGATTTGTCTGTGTTGAACATCATTTAAGACAACTTTAGCAGCTGTTAGCTTTAATTGTGGGAAATAAATTGAGAATTTTAAGCTTTTGTTGGCTAATTCCATCTTCCAGGTTTAAAATAATTATTGGGAAGGGATCACAATCGGTGATGTAGCACAGGGGTTCCCAAACTTTTCAGCCCGCGACCCCCAAAATAACAAAGCCAGTGACTCGCGACCCCCAATATCCTCTGAGGTGGTTATAAATACAGAAACCTTGCATGCAATGACGCAGACACACCAATTAAATTTGTGTCAGTGCTTTAAATGTGCCAGAAAGTATAACCTGATGTTATAAAATCAAAATGCATCTGACGCTATTGCTGCCTTTAATATAATGTAATTACCCCAGGGGTCGCAATCCAATAGAACTAGTAACTATAAGCTACTATAGTAACTATATAGTATATAGTAACTATAAACGACTATTTTTATTTTCAGTATAGTTATAGATAAAATATGTTAATTCTTATGGTTTAATAAAAATAAATAGATTTTTGGAAATCACCAGGCGACCCCCCTTCATTGCCCCGCGACCCCTCGGGGGGTCCCGACCCCCACTTTGAGAACCACTGATGTAGCATGCATCTGCTAGTTGAGTGATGACTAGAGATGTCCCGATCAGGGGTTTTTTTTGGTCTCGAGTCCAAGTCATTTAATTCTGAGTATCTATCGATCAGGGCCAGAGTGGGAGTCCTTTTCAGCCCTGGAGTTTCAAGCCTTCGACCGGCCCACCTCAGTTCACGACTGACAATATAAAAATAAGGTCATTTCCAATTCAGTTTCTAATGACACTATCACGTGTTTTTCAAGGACACAGCTGCTTTAGAACTTCAAATGTTTACATAACATAGAGAACAGCTAAACTACAACACTATTTTTTAAAACATCACAATGTCCTTTCCTGCAATATCTGAATATATATTCTGTGCAAACTTCTTCATAGATATTCAGTCCTTTGTAACGGTGATCACACAAAAATAAAATATGTACAACTACATAAGTAACCCAAACAGTATTATATGTCTTAACACTGAAATTAAAAATAAAAATTACTCAGGTGAGGTTCGAACTCTGGTCGGCGGCATCGCAACGCAAGTATTGCACTGTTACCTGAAAGACTCTTTTCACCACAGTATCACTTTTTATTGATGGCTCAATCTTTTTCTCCCCTTTTTAGATTTCTGATCAAGTTATTTCAGATTTATTAATGTAGTGAATCATCTGATTTTCATTGAGGAGGTGTAATATTCATTGATATTAATTACTCAAGTTTTTATATTCGAGTATTTATATAGGTGCCGCTGTCATCATTAACCTGCAGACTGCATTTTGCTCACGGGGCCGCAAGAAAATAAATAAAAAGAGCAGAGCTGCGGCAGAATAATGAATAAAAAGAGTGAGGCCATGGTCAAATAAATACATAAATAAAAAAAGTGCAACTGCTGAGAGTGCAAGCAGCTAGGGGTACAGGCCCTCGCGGCCAAAAAAACTGACTGGCCCTGGGAATTCTCCCACTCCTCCCGATTAGCCAATCCGGGCTTGCTACCAGTACCAAAACCAGTACCAAAATACTTAAAAAATACAAAAAAAAAAAAAAAAATCAAGCTGCTTTTGTGTTTTACTTTGACAATATATATATATATTCTCATTATTTCTTAACAGATCTATAGTTTTGCAATACATTTATATATAATTCAGCGGGGCTAAAAATTCTGACTTTAACTATATATGTATATATATATATATATATATATATATATATATATATATATATACACACACACAGTTGAAGTCAGAATTTTTAGCCTCCTTGTTTATTTTTTCCCCAATTTCTGTTTAAAAAAAGAGAAGATTTTTTCAACACATTTCTAAACATAACAGTTTTAATAAGTCACTTCGACAGCGCTACTTACAGCGCCACCTCTTCACCCTGCAACAATACAATATATGTGAATATTGGAGGTGTATGTGCATATTGTGTGTGCATGTACATTTATATGAGTGTGTGTGTGTGTGTGTGTGTGTGTGTGTGTGTGTGTGTGTGTGTGTGTTTCAACCTACCCCGCCACTGTCATCTTGTTAAGTATTAGCACGGTGCTTTGAAATGAGCAGATACACCATTCTTTACAAGAGAAACTACAGTTTGACCTGATGTAACTCATACAACATCATCTACAACTGTAGAGGTACTGAACAAGGAGAGATTGCAAGAATGACTGGAAAATCTCCATGTGATTGTTAGGGAATCCTGAGGAAACTGAAAATGTGACATGACCCCTATCCCTGATTCCCTGGTAGTGTTACAACTCTCCCAGTGTTTCAACTATATGTCTCCCCTAATATTAAAATGTTCATATGATTTAATTACAATACAGTTTGTAAAGTAATATTTTTTGTATTTTAGTATATTAATATAATGTATATTAATATAATATATATATATATATATATATATATATATATATATATATATATATATATATATATATATATATTATTTAAGAGACTTGCTTTGTTTACCAATTGAGTGGCTTTAATTGGATTTGTACTGTAAACATTAAATAACAGTTGAAAAGGTAGTATTTTTAATTTCATATATTACGTTTTTAGTTATGATACTCCCAAAATCATTCCGCATACATTGGCAGATTTTTTACAAAATTATCTGCAGAAATAGCAAAAAATGTCTGCAGATCCTGTCTGGCCCAACCTATAGGGCCACCAACCCTACGGGCTAGCCTTATGTTAGGGAGGCCAAGCTTTAAAAATGTCTATTTTCACTTATTTGCCGTTTTTATGGTTTGATTTTTATTAGATTTTTTTTTCTTTTTGTAGAATACATAGTTAATGTACTTCTTGATCTAATAATAGGAGGAACAGACAGATAGCTATGCATTTCAGTGATTTAAGTAGGGTGAGCAAGATTCTATATGGCTAAAATTTTAATTTTCACTCACTAGGCAAACCAAATGAAGCATCCAGGAGATGACAGGAGTTCTGCTGGGGTGTGGCTGTTGACCATCAGCACGGAAAAGCCTAGGACGCTCCCAGAAAACATTCAGTTATTATCAAAGAGCAGCTTCTGCACTTCACGCCATGTGAACAGCCATTTATTCAGAGAAAACAGCCTACTGAACCTTTGATTTTCTCGGCGGTAAATAGGAAGCGCTCCAAAAACGATGATCTGCAGGGCGGACAGGGTGCGTTCAACTATCTCGATCATGCTCTGTCTGCCGCAGCTTGCCTTGCAGTCGTTCGTCAACACGTTGAGGACGACAGCTCCAATGCTCTCGCCTCGCCAGCCTTTAGGATAGCGAGAACCGAAGCAGAAACATCGGCAAGGCAGAGTGCGTATAAAAAGGTGCGTAAGATGTTAGGCTACCTTTAGTGGAAGCAGCACGGACGCGACGAACGATGGAATCGCCGATGGTTGCGGCGTAACGTCAGTAATTGATTGCGACTGGGGCGTATAACGTCATTTTCCACCCTCGTTTTGATGTTAGATCAGTGATTCCCTAACTAGGTCCCGCATAGTGACCTTTGATTTGGTCCACCATCCTATTTGAGAAGAGAGGGAGAATAAAGGGGATGTTTCAAGATTGTAAATTCAAATTGAATGTATCCCTTTGATTTTTTTGTTAACTGAAATTAAATGTTTCAATTAAATGGTGTAAATTAGTCAGATTTTGTTTAAATGTACATAATGTAACCCGACAGGGCAGAGATTTTGGTGAGGAAAAGGCAGATTCTGCTTGTATTCAGCATTGAACTCTACTATGTTGTAAATGTAATCGTGTTTTTATTGCAACACAGTTTCATTTCGAAAGTTATGCTGCCTTAGTTATTATAACTTAAAGTAATGTTTTCTATTTAATTTGAAATATTCTGAAATAAATTAGGAAACTATTACCCATGGTGACTTAATTGTAATAGTTTTGGTATTTTCCTCCGAACCATATTTTTTTTTTAATGATATTTGGTTTTTGGCCCTTTATGCTGGGAAGTTTGGGCACCCCTGGTATAGATTGACAAGGGTGATGTTTACAAAAACATCCACTTTGAAATCCATTTTCAAATGTTTGCATTTGCCATGGCTAAAATGCCATTGTCGTGTAGACAAACAGGCAAAACACTTAAAAATGAGGACTGGCTGAACATGATGACACCCTGATCTGATAAGTAACTAAAAGACCAAATAAACATGTATTTTCTAGGAATTATTAGGATTTTTATTCAGAATAGCCATTGGTTGAAGAAGTTTTCACAGCTTGGACTGAAGTTTATAAATGAGCAATTCTTTAAATAAAGGAAGGGATTTTGGTGAACTACTATGGAGTCAGTCTAGGGCCATATATACTTGCAAAATAAAAAAAAGTTTTGTAAACAAAAAATAAAGTATTGAGCAAAAATTTAAAAAACAGATGCAAATCTCCAAAAATCGCAAAGGAAAAATTTATTTTTGAGAAATAAAAATTATTTTTGTGAACAAAAATAAAGAACTGCAAAGGAAAAATTACGTTTTGAGAAATGAAATGTGCAAAAAAAAAAAAAAGCGCAAAAAATCAAGCAGTGCATTAAAAAAAAAGTAAAATATTTGCAATTGAAAAAAAATCTATGTATATTTGCAAAACATTTTATAGCATTGCCTTTACAAAACCCGTGCAGTCGATTGCAGTACTTATTTTGATTTGCTTTATTATTATATAATTTTATTTGTCTTTTTTTAATGATGAACCAGTAGACTTGTGCACACTGTGTGAAAAGACTTGAAGAGTGAATGAGGTATGTATTCTGGTCTAGTTTCCATCTGTCAGTAATACAGTGCACTCACTTTAATGGGAACAAACCATTTTTGTTTGTTGTTCATTGGGAAATTGAATTGAATTGAATTGAATTTGAATTGAATTTTATTTGACAGATTTTAGACAAACTGTACAAAAAGTATTCCATACACTTTGTTAAAAAAACTGTAGAGGATAAAAACACAATAAAGCCCTCGGCTTATTTCCATTGTGGTCCTTTGTTAAATAAAAACAATGTATGGCTTTAAAATACTAATGAAGAAATAAAACAAACAGTCGCCACAGCGGTACGAACAGTCAACCCATCCAGCACATGATCCACACAGCCAATGGCCTTCCAGCCGCAAACTTATTCACACTCAAGTAACATATAATTTAAAAGATCCTCGTCCACCATGCAAACTAATTATCCTCATCAAACAACCATCTTTTGATAGCTTTTTTGAACAACCTTAAATCTTTTATTTCCTTAATTGATTTTGGTAGTTTGTTCCACATGATTGCACTTGTATATAAAAACATATTTTTCCCCACTAAACTTCTTAATTTAAATAAACAAATATTAAAATCCCAACTCCTATAGTACTGTATGAATGCTGTTGCTTCACCATTTGAAAATAATTCATCAAATAGCTAGGAACCACATTATTAAACATTTTACGTACCATTCCCAGTTTTAAAAAACACACTCTATTACTAACAGTTAACATACCTAATTTATTAAAAGACTCTTTGTGCAAATGTGCTCTAGGATGCATTTTTAAAATTATTCGTACTAATTTATTTTGTGCCTTTTGCAATTTCTCCTTCAAATTTTGTGAGCAGCTACTGTACCAAAATGACGTAGCATAATCAAAATGGGGTTGAATTAAAGCTCCTGCCAACAATTGTAAAGAATGAACATCCAAAAGATCAGATTGCCTTGCTAAAAACCTAATTTTTCCACAAATCTTAGTAAAAACGTTTTTTGCCATAGCATCTCCTGATAATTTATTATCTATTAAACAACCCAAATAGTTTATCTCATTTTTTTGACTGCATTTTCCAATCATTAATCTTAACTACAAAATTATCATCTTTTTTTAATTTCACTCTTGAAGTAAATAAAATAGCTTCTGTTTTACCCATATGTAAAGAAAGTTTGTTGTCTAAAAACCAGTTGTAAACACTTTTTAACTGTAAACTCATAATTTCTTCCAGGGCCCTTTTGTCATGATGAGATACTAAAATTGCGGCTTCATCAGCATAAAGATAGAGCTCCTCTGAACACACTATTTTTAAATCATTAATATATAAAAGAAAAAATAATGGACCTAAAATACTTCCTTGAGGTACTCCACAATTGATTGATAAGGGAGCAGATAAAATACCCTTTATATCAACTCTCTGGTTTCTATCATGCAGATATGACTGAATCAGTTCCTAGTAACATTTTTGACTTCTGTTGAAGACAGATGATATCTGGGAAACAGCATGTCTTTGTGGTCTTGATATTTGTGGTTTCTAGTGAAATTCCCTTCTCATTAATTGTCTGGTGTTGGGGAGTTACAGTAAATGACAGATGCACCCCTTCCTAAGAACATGGTTAAATCTGGGACTTCAGTAAACCTGAAATGTAAAACTTTATGTAGTATTTTATTCTCATTCATTCATTTTCTTTGCTTAGTCGCTTTGTTCATCAGGGGTCACCACAGCATGAACCACCAACTTATCCAGCATATGTTTTACGCAGCAGACGCCCTTTCAACTGCAACCCACCTCTGGGAAACATCCATACACACTCATTAACACACATACACTACTGCCAATTTAATTTTATTATTCATTCATTTTCTTTTCGGCTTAGTCCCTTTATTAATCAGGGGTCGCCACAGCAGAATGAACCGCCAACTTAGCCAGCATATCTTTTATGTATGGATGTTTCCCAGTACTGGGTTGCAGCTGGAAGGGGATCCGCTGTGTAAAACATATGCTGGATAAGTTGGCGGTTCATTTCACTGGGGCAACTTCTCATGAATAAAGGGTCTAAGCCAAAGAAAAATGAATGAATGAATGAGTCTCTGTGTATTCAGGTTTAAGTACCAGGATATAAAAACAAGTACACACTACAGACCATGTACAAGCGTCAATAGTACACACCAAGCAGCAACCTTTTGCTCTCCCTTGAGAAAAGCCAATATGGAAGTAACAGCAATTCATCAAACTTGCGCTAGTCCTGGCTCTATATGGAGCAAATTTCTTGCTCACTGTTAGACTTGCCAACTTTACAACAGAAAAAAGAGACGAGGCAGTGGCGCAGTAGGTAGTGCTGTCGCCTCAGTTCGAACCTCGGCTCAGTTGGCGTTTCTGTGTGGAGTTTGCATGTTCTCCCTGCCTTTGCGTGGGTTTCCTCCGGGTGCTAGGTTTCCCCAACAGTCCAAAGACATGCGGTACAGGTGAATTGGGTAGGCTTAATTGTCTGTAGTGTATGAGTGTGTGTGTGAATGTGTGTGTGGATGTTTTCCAGAGATGGGTTGCGGCTGGAAGGGCATCCGCTGCGTAAAAACTTGCTGGATAAGTAAGCGGTTCATTCCGCTGTGGCGACCCCAGTTTAATACAGGGACTAAGCCGACAAGAAAATGAATTAATGAACAACAGAAAAAAGAGTGTTTACAGCCTGTAAATATTTCCTTTATATTAGGTTATATTAAATTTACATAATTAAGGGTGTGGCTACTTGAGTGACAGCTATAATTTTCGCAGGTTGCCGTCACTTCACATCAGCTGATTAGCCGCAGATCCCGGCATATTCATCAAATTATTGTTTTGTTTTATGTGGCTTTACACAGTCAGTTACCTTTTGGAATTATTTCTCACAATTATCAGACAATATGGCGTGCTGTTTGCACTTAATTGTGCTCACAAACCATTCATGGGGCCTGGCCATTTCCTAGGTGAGTGAAATTATACTTATACCATCTCTATAAATGCATTGGTTTTATTTAATCATTTCTAATTTTCTTTAGAGCTGTAAAGCGCTCCAGAATCTGACAGATTGATTAGCTGTAGGCTCTAGAACAGTCATCTGAAGCGTTGTCATACAGTGTTGTGCTGGATTTCATCTTTTACAGTCTATGGTATACACACACTCACACTAGTATATACTGGTGGGGACTCTCATATGGAGCTAACTTGTTAACAAAGGTTTAGCGGTGGAACCACGCCTCACTTTGTCTCTTTAGCCAATCACCTACTCCCTAAAAATGTATTTAAGGCAGGCCAGCTCTCTAGCACTATTCTTCTCGTTCTCTAAAACACACCCTCCCTCACTATATTCTCTGGCTTTCCATTAACAATCCTACGTCCTGCCGTTATCAGCGCGCAATGAATCTTGGAACGTTTGAGGCCACAAAGGATCCACGGGTGGTGTCCATCCAGAATTACAGAATTACACAGAATTAACAAACATAGAAAAACATTAACGTAATGACTTAGAAAAAGGTATGCCTTGAAAGCCAAGTGTGTCATGAGTTTAAAAAAGCATGCAAAATGAGATTTGAAAAAAATGAGTTTTTATCATCAGTGTCCTTTTTTTCCTATATCGGTTACACCTTGTCATCTAGAGTTTATAATGCTCAAAACAGAAAAAAACATAGAATGTAAAAGATTTGGACGCAGCATCCGTGACGTCACCCATAGGTTTCTGAAGAACGCAAAAGATGCTACAAGTAGGTGTGGACAACAGTCGCCGTTTTGTTTGCGTCATTGCACATTTGGGGATACCAAACAAGGGCAAAGAGGCGGAGTGTGAGCAGAGCTACAGACGCCTGCTAGCATTTTGCTTAGACAGGCTTTTCTTTGGAAGAAACGCTTAAAACTTCATTACCTGCAACTTGTTTGTGTTCTGACCACATGTGCTTGGTTGTGTAATATATTAATAAAGTGTTTAGTCTTTTAAAAACACTGCTGTAATACATTAAGCCACTAAATATTGTTCTTATGACGTTTTTCTACAGGAGGAGAACGCAAATCACTTCCAAAAACTTCAGATGTGGTCTGTGTTAGTAAATGCAAGGCCATTGATGAAATTCAGGCATAACACTGTATGACAATGTTTCAGATGACTGTTCTTGAGCCTACAGCTAACTAATCTGTCAGATTCAGGAGTGCATTCAAGCTCAAAATTAAATCTTAAATGATCTTAAATAAAACAAATACATTTATAGAAACGGTATATATGAAACTCCTGTTAGCGCTTTGGGACTGAGAAAAGTGCATTATAAATAAAATGTATTATTATTATTATAAGTTTATAATTTCACTCACCTGTGAAATGGAGGCCATGTGAATAGTTGGTGAGCACAATTAAGTGCACACAGCATCCCATATCATCTGATAATTGTAGGAAAAATTCCAAAAGGCAATACAATGAATATGCTGAGCTCAGCAGCTAATCAGCCGGAATCAGCTGAGGTGACAATACAGCAACCAGTGAGACCTAGCTGTCACTCAAGTGGCCACGCCCTTAATTAAGCAGACTTAAAACTTAATAAAAAACTAAACTGATGAGTTATGAAAGAATTAACCCCCTCACAGTTGTCATGAAGGTTATTATTAGCTATATACTTTACACCAAAACTATGTTTTGTACCAGGCTGTAAACATATTTTTATCAGCTGTAAAATTGGCCAATTTAGCATTACAGTCAGTGAACATCTGGAGTTCCTGGAGTCAGCCCCCAAAGGCGAGTCGATGAATTGCAGGCTTCACGAGGGAGAGCGGGAGGTTGCCGCTTGGAAAAAAATGAACATGCTTAAACAAAAGGTTTTAACAAAACTTAGAAATTAAGAGAACAGAAGCTGTATGTTGCTGAAGGGTTATGTACATAACTGCACTTGGTCAGTTTAAGCTTTTATTTGTTGTAAATGTGAAACAGTTCACCTTAAAACATGTGTTTTATCTGAGTGAATCTTGACATATTAACATTTAAAATGAAGAGAACCAGGTTTGCCTGTAACCAGCAATCAGCTAAGACAGCAGCTCAGTTATGAATATACATTTGTTGGCTTCAAATTAACAACAACAGACCGAAAAGCAATGCATAAAAAGCAATGCCAAGACCACAGGCGATATTATTCAGGGTGAGTGCCGTTTTGGAGTTCCTCTCTGCTAATGCTCTGTGTCCAGCATCATTGGCATTTCGAGTCTGTGAAAACATAATGTAAAACATAATGTTAACCACTTCTTTTTTTATTTTGAAAATGAAGTATCAACCACTTCTGCTCTCAATAATTGTTTTTGAGCCAAACGGCGACAGATAGAGTCCTATATTTATTGATTTATATATATATATATATATATATATATATATATATATATATATATATACTACAACATAGGATGTTCAATAGACAACAGTTTACAGTATAGCAAAAACTAAAGTATACTACAGTATTTATTACAGTTTTTACCGTAGGTAGTGTATACAAAAGTGTTAATATTAATACAATTATAGTTTTTTTTTTTTTTTACTAAATGATGGAAATGAAAGCTTTAGCGAAGGTTCTACCAGGAAGACTGAGATGTCACGTCATTCATAATAATTATCTCGCCAGCCTATAACAACCAAGCAAGCCATGTATAAAAGCTTATCTAAACAATCTGTTTCGCTGTATTCAGGTGACGTTGCGGAAGTTTCCCTCCATCCTCCCCATCACCACCACCACCTGGTTGGCCTCGTCTCCACTCAGGGGGTTGGCTTCGCCCTGCCTTCATCTTCAGGCAGGATCTGCCAGCTCATCCAGAGTTCTGCGCTATAGACGGGGCTTACGCCAAAGAACTTTATGAAAGGACCGTAATGAACTCTCATTCATGCAAACAATTCACAATAAATGTTCAAACGTTTATCTGCCTCCTAGAGTCTTTCTGGTAGAACTACCATGAAATTACCCTTCATAGGAAAAGGATTGGGCACCCCTAGTTTAAAGTGATGTATTGTCTGGGTTGGTGTTGGTACAAAAACCTTGTAATAAGCTACAAGTTCTGTTATTTTACTCTTATTTCTCTCTATGGCGGTTCATTCCACTGTGGTGACCCCAGATTAATAAAGGGACTAAGCCGAAAGGAAAATGAATGAATTTCTCTCTATATTACAGTATTTCTTATAAATTATATTAGTAAAATGTCAATAAAAGTCAATGTGTTAAGCTGCAGAGTTAAATTTTCAACATCAAAAGTGAACAAAGCAGAGATCAACATCCCATAACGGAATTCACCAACCATAAAGGAAAACACAAATCACAAAATTACAGAAACTGTTAATTAACAGACATTTTTACAGTGCAGAATATCCTCCTAGTATGCTTATATAATATTTTAATTCTTTAAAATAAATAATAATATCAAAAAATATATGGACTGATACTTATGTAAAAGGACAAAACAGTCCTGCAGCAATGAGTACAGATCAGTATTCAAGTAAAATCTCTTTTAACTGTGACTTAAATAAATAGTTCAGAATTAAAATAAAGATGATGAGCTAATACTTACAGAGAGGGAAAATACCAGCGCTGCGATGCCCAGAAAGCTCAAGTGACAGCAAAGAATGGTGAAGATGGAGTAACACAAGTGATCCGGCACTGGTGCGGCAGGAACAAAGCCTGCAGTCTGCACTGAGACGACAGCTTGTCCTGGAAGTAGCCCTTGATTGTAGGGGCCCTGCTGGACTGAAGGGCCTAGATTGGGTGGATAATATACAGGTGGAGGCTGAGGCTGCAACAGCACAATTGTATCAGACGCTTGCTCCCTGCGATCCATTGTTCTGATTGTGGTTTTATTGCTGTGCTCTGTTGCTTTGAATGCCACTAAATGTAGAGAGGATGTGAACCGATTCAGAGGTTATAAAGAAGAAGTAAATTTACAGAGTTTCCATTGTACCGTGTGACTGGAGATCTTGCAGTTTCAGTCAGAGCTTGTGGGCACTGTTAAACTAAAACAATTTATGCTACCTGAAACATCAACAATAAATATTGGTAAAAAATAAATCACATGAACATATTGTAGATAACTGCAGAATAAATTAAAATCATAACAAATATTATAATCATAATACTAAATATTTAAGTTAAATTATATTTTACAGGACCTTCCAGTATAATATCTCGGATATTTAAATGTATTTATTTATTTAAATATTTTCAGATTCTTATGAACCATTTTATTATTAATTATCCCCATTTACATAGGACTGAAATGTTTTGCTGTTCAGATAGTATACAGAGAAGTACATTGTTGTTAAGCCCCTGATGTATTGTCAAAAGCCAGTCAGCAGTTCCGCATTACCTGTTTCTACCGGCAAGTGGGAGTGGCACTGTTGTCACATAGCATAGATAGATACATATATATAGGCCTATAGTCACATGGTGTTAAAAAATCCCGCCACTTCATTCATTCTTCATTCATTTATTATTTTGAGGAGCTGAAGCTGATGAGGTATTAATACAACAGTTTCGCAAAACTGAATAGTTCTAACTGATGAAGCTTAATATTTGTTTTCACAGTAAAAAATGTGAGTAGTTTTGGTGAAATAAAATAACCGTAATAACTGTAATCAATAAATTTGCGTTATTTAAATACATAAAAATTAGTTAGAAAAACATTGTACTAGCTTTCTAGATATGATATAGCCAGTCACATCTGTTTCTGTAATAGTTAAATCACAGTGAGTTTATGCATCTAGCATATTATTTTATAGCTATATTTTACTGTAACATGCTTTGTCAGTTAGCATCGAATTATGAATGGACTTTCTTATGAAAATACCTTAGATAGTTGGAAGAACACATTTATTGTTGCAGTCGAGTAAATGATCAGTTAAAACCTTTTTTTATGTTTATTCATCCGCTGTGTAAAAACATATGCTGGAGGTTCATTCTGCTGTGGTGACCCTGACTTAATAAAGGGACTAAGCCGAAAAGAAAATGAATGAATGACAATAAATACTTTGCATTCTTAATGGGGAGATTTTTCATTTCTCGAGCAATACTTCGGTCAAATTCTTCAACTTCACTAAAAGAAAAAAAAGCTGTTGCCAGAAATTGTTTTAACATAAAAAATCAACTCTTTTGTGAAAAAAATTGAGTGGTAAATGGGGCCCTGGAGTGTGGCGGGCAAGTCTGAGTGTGCAGTTAGGTCTCTGGGCCTCAGCTTCACCCTACTCTGTTGGTTTGCCAGTGAGAAAGTTTGCACAGCCACAGCATTCAAAACACTGGTAACAGACAATTGTGCATATCGGCCACATGAGGGAACCACAAGCTAGCTGTTTGATCGTGTTCTTTTAATAAAGGTAATGGATTATGAAATCATTGCAGTGTATATTTTTGCAGTTACCTTCTTCCCCACACATCTGTAAGTCACAATATAAATGTAAAATAATCAATAATTTACCAACATAATCAAAATGTGTTAACTTTATAGTCTTAACTCCCAACTTGCAGTGTTCATATTTTTACCATTCAAGTTGCTTGTGCTTTTGTCAGATTCGCCAATGCTAAGGTAAACGGAACTACAAATGCACAACACAATTGTTTTTAACCTTGCACAAATTATTTATTCATATCAAAAGTAGCAATGTGAGGACTTAAAGTGAAAAGGGTCAGTGGCAAAAAAAATCCCCTCCAACATCGGGTAAAATGACAGTATCTTATAGTTTATAAGATTCTATTAATCATATGATTTAAATCAGTGGAAATTATAAGGAAAGACTGAGGGCCCTATCATACACCCAGCGCAAGGCGCGACGCAATTCTTGTTTGCTAGTTTCAGCTTGGCGCAAGAGTTGTTTTGACGTTTTGCGCCACGCTGTTTAATTAGCAAATGCATTTGCGCTCATATGCGCGCCCATAGGCGTTCTGGTCTAAAAAGGAAGGCGTTCTGAGGCGCATTGCTGGCACGTTGCTATTTTGAGAAACTAAAATAGATTTTTCAATAGACCACAAAAAAAAACATCTTACACACTGCTTAATACAGACAAGATGTAGAGCAATACGCAAATATCTTTACATATGAAAAATTATTTAAATGTTAAGAATATATATATATATATATATATATATATATATATATATATATATATATATATATATATATAGAATATAATAAGGATATATATACTGTAGGATATAAATATAAAGGATTAAAATATTACAAAACATTATTTTCTAGCCTACATAAATTTAGGCTTTTTCAGTTCATTCATAACAATTAGCTTTTGTATAATGATATCATTATTAGCAGTATTATTTATTATATCCATATTTATATTTGTTGTATTAAAAACAAGTTTAGATTTGTCCACCTGTCAGGTTTCAGACCATATGGGGCACAGCATGTGTTTTAGGATATAACTCATGTTCATTTATTTGTTTGCTGGAAATTAGAACTGAATTGAGAAATAGTTTTGAAACAAATCTTTGCACGAACAAAATTAATTATTTATAGGCTAATGGATGTCTGTGCATACAAGGTTTCCTATATCCTTGAAAGTGAAAGTAGATTATGAAATGCCTTATCTCTCACTCTCGCGCTGCAGATGCTCTGTTTAACAGTTTTCTTGCTAGTGAAATGCTCAGTTTTTCCACTTACAAAGTGGTCATGTAAATAGCGAATGCGCTCTTGGCGCGATGCAGCTGGCTCTTAAAGGGAATGGGAGATGAGACTCTGATTGGCTTATTCTCTAAACACACCTATAACTCATTAAGAAAATAAGCTGAACCCTTTTAGATAATGCAAATTTTTCCATCCTTATATTAGCAAAAGTGGATTCTGACACGCCCTGAATGCGTTTGCACCCTGCGCTTTGCGCTCTGCGCATGGACCCTCAAAATAGAGCCTTGAGACTGTATTGATCACAAAAAGGCTAAAGATTCTAAATAAGGGTGAATCGTTGAAACAACTCTCAGTCGACTCTTTTTCTTTCTTTTTTTTTTTAGATACAAGAGCTTTATACACAGTGCACTTGCAGACTGAAACCTCAGCTGAATTTCACTCACTTAGAGCTGTGTTACATACTGCATGGTTTATATTAAATAGATGATAAATGAAAGGAAATACAAGAAACAATACCTACACAGAAGGAATACACCAGGGCTGTGATACACAGGAAAACAGCAGCAAACATAGTGAAAATAAAGTAACACAGGTAATACACAGATCTGCTGGTTTGTAAGAGCAACAATGAGAATAGACAAGACAGACAACACAAATGTTAGTTAAGATGATTATATATATATATATATATATATATATATGAAGAGTTAAATGCCTTAATAATTGTTTCTCTTTCCAGAAAAAAAATACTATATCCAGTCAGAATTATCAGGCCCCTTTTGAATTTGATTTTTATTAAAAAAATTTTTTATATTATTTCGCAAGAGCAAGGAAATTTTCACAGCATGTCTGATAATATTTTTTATTCTGGAGAAAACCTTATTTGTTTTATTTCAGCTGGAATAAAAGCAGTTTAAATTTTTTTTAAAACCATTTAAAGGTCAAAATTATTATCCCCTTTAAGCTATATATTTTTAATAGTCTACAGAACAAACCATCATTATACAATAACTTGCCTAATTCCCCTAACCTCCCTAGTTAACCTAGTTAAGCCTTTAAATGTCACTTTAAGCTGTATAGAAGTGTCTTGAAAAATATCTAGTAAAATATTATTTACTGTCATCATGGCAAAGATAAAATAAATCAGTTATTAGAAATGAGTTATTAAAACTATTGTGTTTAAAAAATGTTTTGACAAAATAGGTTACACTTTATAGTAACTACACACTATTATGTATTCAAAATGAAAAAAAAAGCTTAACATTATGTTTCACAATTGTTTTAGAGACTCGAAACGGCAACCTCCTGAGTCAGATGCTGGAGGCCTCGGAGGAACCTGCACTTGCAGGTTCATACGTAGTTTTAAAGAAAGTGATGTATAGGAACCTGTTCGAACCTAGGCAGGGGCGGACTGGGACTAAAAATCAGCCCTGGCACTGTAGCCACACCAGGCCACATCACCACACTGACACACACCCATGCACGGACACGCACATTTACTACTTAGATTGGTGTAAAGATGGTGAAATAATATAAGCAGTACCATATGCAATAGATAATTAAACATTTAATGTATGTGACTAGAACAAAACATCCCATTTATAACAAATTTATATATGCATTTTCTTTTCGACTTAGTCCCTTTATTAATCTGGGGTCGTTACAGCGGAATGAACCGCCAACCTATCCAGCATATGTTTTACGCAGTGGATGCCCTCCAAGCTGCAACCCATCACTTGGAAACCTCTGTAACCACACATTCACAAACATGCACTATGGACAATTAAGCCTACACAATTCACCACATTTGTTTGGACCTGTGAGGGAAACCCCAAGGAAACCTACGCGAACATGCAAACTCCACACAGAAACACCAACTGACCCAGCCGAGGCTCGAAATAGTGACCTTCTTGTGCCACTGCGCTGCCCCCTTTCGAGACTTTCATTTAATTTTATTCATTTGGCAGTGTCTGATTTTAGAGACTTATTTTTTGCTTTCTCTGAGCTTTTTGTCACTGCCTTTCCTTTTTTATGGTCCATCCCTGACAATTAGCTTGTTTGTAGCTTTGTTTGACATTCTTGCCAGATTTTGATTACGTCCGGTTTACCTCTGATTGGGTCGGCCCATCTCAAAACCATACGGTCGTTACCGATTGGGCCAATGCTTAACATTTATTATTATTATTACTATTATCATCATCATCATCATCATCATCATCATAATATCAACATTTTGCAAGAGATAAAAGCTGCTTGCATGTAAAATTAAA